TTAAGGTTTCAAATCATCAATTTTCATTTCAATTTTATTGTCCATCCTTGGGTTCTGAGTCTGAAGTTGTTATAGTTTGTGCCTGTTGTGATGGTGGATTTGTTGTTATAACAGCTTTGCCTAAAAAGTCTTTCCAGGGCAGCTCTGACTGACACAGGTAATGAATGACAACAGCCAATTATTCATGAAACTTTATTGCTGTGTAAGTGTGTGCATATGAAAGGAGGTATGTTTCTGATAGAAATGAATGTTGAGCAGCTTTCAAAGAGGGTATCATTTGACATCCATTGCTCTCCTATCACTTTGCATAAATATCGTCTGTTGGGCACACACACATATGGTGAGGATTCATTTTCATTGCTTAGCATCCATTATAATAGCCTTCCTCTGTATTTCTTTCTGGCATATCAGAAGATGTCAATTAAACAGCAGTGTGATGGAATCAAGGAAATTCTGGCTCAAAGGCCAGTATCTGCAACCATGGACAAGTAGTTGGGTGTGGCAAAGCCTCTGGATGCTGATTTTTCTCAGCTATAAAATGGAGACAACAATAATACCTAGAATAAATAAGATAATGCAATATATAGTGCTGATTAACAATATCTGCATTTGTCTGTTTGGGCTGCTATAGCAAAAACGTCACAAAATAGTTGACTTTTAAGCAATAAATATATATTTCTCACTTTTCTAGGCTAGAAAGACAAAGATAAAAGCACTGGCAGATTCCAGAGCTTCCTGTTCACTTTTTCATAGATGGTTCAGCTTGTCCTCATGCTGAAATTGATAAGCAAGCTCCCTTAGGCCTCTTTTATATAGACATTAATCCCATGCTTAACACCTTGCACTCATGATCTATTTTTTTTTAATTTTTAAGTTGAAATAGACCAACAGTACATGTATCAGGAGTATAAAGCTCTTTCATTTTTTTTTTTTTTAAAGATTCATTTATTGGGGCCCGCGCTATGGCGCAGTGGGTTAACGCCATGGCCTGAAGCGCTGGCATCCCATATGGGCGCTAGTTCTGGTCCCGGCTGCTCCTCTTCCAGTCCAGCTCTCTGCTGTGGCCTGGGATAGCAGTGGAGGATGCCCCAAGTCCTTGGGCCTCTACACCCCTGTGGGAGACCCGGAGGAAGCTTCTGGCTCCTGGCTTCGGATCGGCGCAGCTCCTACCGTTGCGGCCATCTGGGAAGTGAACCATCGGACGGAAGACTTCTCTCTCTCTGCCTCTCCTCTCTCTGTGTTACTCTGACTTTCAAATAAATAAATAAATCTTAAAAAAAAGACTGATTTATTTATTTGAGAGGCAGAGTTACAGAGAGAGGGAGAGACAGAGAGAGAGGTCTTCCATCTGCTGGTTCACTCCCCAAATGACCAAATGACAGCAAAGGCTGGAACTGAGTAGAAGCCAGGAGATGCAAGCTTTTTGTGGGTCTCACACATGAGTCAGGGGCCCAAGCACGTGCACTGTCTTCCACTGCTTCCCCAGGCCATTAGCAGGGAGATGGATCAGAAGTGGGGCATCCAGGGCTCAAACTGGTACCATATGGGATGGCAGTGCCACAGGCAGGGGCTTAACCTGCTACACCTCAGTGCCATCCCTGGCACTCATGATCAAATCCCCTCTCCATAACTTACCTCAAAACAGTCACCTTGGGGTTAGAATTTCAAATATGAACTTTGGGGAATGCAAATATTCAGACCATGGCGATTTCATGTGTCAATTACTCAGGAGAAGATTAAAAAGTTTCACCCAGAATATATCACTTTAACTATTTGGATCACTTTAATAGAGCTGGATATCTGGATTTAAACAGAGTTTCAGTGAACAGTATATTTGCCATAGTTCACTGAACACTATTTTTCTCAATTTAATATCATTCAGTTTTTGTTTTTCTTGATGGTTTTTTTGTTGTTGACAATAATATGACATCTGCTGTAATTTCTTATGTATTGCTTTATGATCCTCTTATCCTTTCAATGTTTTACATAATTTATGCAATTTATGTTTGACAGATATACCCCTTTTTCAAAAATAATGTAAATTTTCTATAGAAATTAATGTATTTTTGTATGATATGTACAAATGATTTGGTTTTATCAATTTCTTGGCCCAGAGTTGATAAATATGTTGTGACCAACTGGAATAATGACATTTTGAAGCCAGGAAGATAGAATTGCACACAAAGCATAAAACATATCTAGAGAAAGGCAGTAAACAGAAGAGTAACAGAAGAAATAAAAAAAAACCTCTTAAGAGACAAGTGAGTTCAAAAATATTTTCCAGCCTGGAGTGAAAAACAGAAGCAGACATACAATTTAAGAACAATCTGAACAAACAAAATGTTATGAATTGAATTGGGTCCTCTGCAAAAAAAAAAAAAAAAAAACTAATGTAAACTAATGTTGAAGACCTAACTCTTAGCCCCCTTAATTGGATTTATTAGAGATAGGGTCTTTAAAGAGGTAATTATGAATAAATGTCCAAATGAGGACATATGTGTGGGAACTAATCCAGTATGACTGGTGTCCCTGTGAAAAGAGAAAGAGACACCATAGACAGGTGCAGCCAGAGAAAAGGCCAAAAATGTGTTTGTGGAGGAAGGGAGGACACTGTGAGGAGGTGATTATCTTTAAGCCAGGAAGAGACCTCAGAAGAAACTAAACTTATTGACACCTTGACCTTACATTTCCAGCACCCAGAATTATGTGAAAAGAATATCTGTTGTTTAAGCTACCAAAACTGCAGCATTGTTCTGGCATCTTTACCAGAGCAACACATCAAAGCAAGGCAGCCTAATGAAAAAACTAACATTTATTAGACATTTATCCTTGTTCCAATTGCTCAAGCCATCTATCAATAATCAAGGGATGTGTGGATTTATTGAAGTGTTACACAGTCCTTCCTCCATAAAAACATACAAATCTTACATGTTAGTCAATGATCGAAGAAAACTAAATTTTAAATAACATGCACATTTTACCAGCAACATCTTATTTTATACATGCAGAAACTGATATCAAAAGGAGAAGTAGCCTCGGCTAGTTCTCTAATCTCATTATCCCAGCTAGCATTCCCACACACGTGTTATGAGGTACGAAAGCTCCCAAGATGCTTTTGTCAACTCACTCACACTCATGTGTCCACAGCAACTTCTGTATATTCTCTTCCCTCTGCCTAGTACACTCTTATTTAATTCTAAAGATCTGCTGATTTTTTTTTTCAGATTCCACTTCACATCCCATTTGTCTGGTGATATGATCACTTCCATCTGAAATTAAGTCAGTCCTCAAACTCATTCAGCATATTGATGTGTTATGCATATCATCCTCCCCCTTGTGATTTAAATTGTAAAAGAAAGATTCTTATGCTGTTTTATCAACCGTGTATCCAGCATGGATATCTTTTATAAACAATTATTTATTTGATTATTTGAAAGGCAGAGCTTTAGAGAGGGAGGGAAGGAGGGAGTGAAAGAGGAGGAAAGTGAGAGAATGAGAGTGAGAAAGAGAGAGATCTTCTTTCCACTGTTTTTCACTCTCCAAATGGACAAAACAATGGTGCTGGGACAGGCTGAGCTCAAGAGCCAGGAACTCCATCTTGATTTCCCAAGTGGATGGCAGGGCCCAAGCACTTGGACCATCTTCCACTGGTGTATTAGTAGGGAGCTATATCAGAAGCAGAGTAGCCAGGACTTGAACAAGCACACTGATAGGAGATGCTGGCATCCCATGCAGCTGGCATCCCATGCTGGCATCCCATGTAGCATGGATAACTTATCTGACACATGGTAGTGTTTGAAAATAATACCCACTTGGGAGTGAAAGTTTGACTTGGTGATTGAGGTACTGAGTTGGGATGCCAAAATCACATGTAGAAGTGCCTGGGTTCAAGTCCCATCTCCACTCCCAATTCAAGCTTCCTATAATGTGCACTTCAGGATGAAGCAGGTGATGGCACAAGTAGTTGAGCCCCTGCCACGAGTGTGTGAGACCTGGATTAGGTTCCAAGTCCTAGCATTGGTCCAGTTCAGTCATACTCCCCATGGGTATTTGAGGAGTAAACCAGCAGTCGAAAGTCTCTCTCTCTCTCTCTCTCTCTCTCTCTCTCTCTCTGTGTGTGTGTGTGTGTGTGTGTGTGTTTATGTGCTTCTTTGTCTCTCAGATAAATTAATTAAAATTGAAGTTAAAATAATATCTACTTCCCAAATAAAAGGTCCAATTGGTAATAAATGATGAAGCTTGGAGTCAAAAGGAAGTCTTCCTGACTCCAAAGTCCGTACTTTCCTCTTTTCTCTCAGAAGCATATAGATATACACACAGACACACAGAGAGACTCATGGACACATACACAGTATGTGTGCATATATGTGTGTGTATGTGTGTGTGTGTGTGTGTGTGTATTTTAAGCCATTTACGAAAGGACCAAGCAGCAGACATAATTTAAGTATTTCTGAAATGAAATTCAGATCTGTAGACAGAATATGGGACATCAAATAGCTATGATGCCTCAACTTTTCTCACACCCCTCCATAAAAAGATGTATGATACACAAGAGAAATCGGAAATCCCAACTGCATTGTCTAAGGCTAATAGATTTTATGAGTAGTTGGGTTCAATTAGATTGAATCAATATGTCCAAGCGTTAGGGAGTTTCAAAAACTTTGTGGGAAATTGGAATTAAAAGTGATGTTTACTTTTCATGAACTTCCTGAAGCCCATAAATATATGTTGAATTTTGTCAGATTAACCCGACTAACGACTTAGGACACATTTACCAAATTTTCATAGTGAAATCATCATCATTCTCTGAAAGTGGAATGTGCTGGCCATTCTCAAAATAGAATGGAAGACATACATTTGTAGCATAAGCTATATATAAGCTCCCAACATTTCAGTAACCCTAAGGGCAGTTTTTTATATTCAAGAAATAAAAGAGGTAAAGTCAGATTCTCAGTTATGATTTATCACCCAAATCATCTTAAAGTCATTTTTATCCCCACCTTAGGTTTCCAATAAGCAGGCTGACTCTATCACTTCCACACCTGTGTTTTTCCTTGAACAACTTTGGCTGAGCTGAGTATTTGGGAGGTTATCAAAACATGACCCAAGACTCTCTCTGGGGTTGTCCATGTAAGGAAGAAAGGACCACTGCAAACACTCTCTTTAAAACAAAAAAAAATTGCATTTAAAAATTAACTTACATGTTTGTTTATCCCTTTAATAACTTAGAAAATTAAAGATACTTCAGAGTATTCAGAAATTATGAATATCATGTTTAGATCATTTTAGTTTAAATGACTGCCAAACATCATATAAAAGTATATGAAGTTAACATATGGAGTTTTCTGTATTCTTTTTCTAAAGTAGCTGTCTTATCTCAAGGAAATATTACTAGATTTAGCTAATTACTCATAAGCATAAAGATAATAATTGAATATATTGTTCTTGATTAAATTTAATCATTGATCATAGCACTTCATAATCTAATGTCAATTATTTTAGTATTAACTATTATTTTATAGCTCCTGAAATATAATTTAATTAGAACCACTTTAACTGATTTAGAGTATTAACCATATCACTGATATTTAATCTCAATCACAATTGCAAAAATACATTTTACAATCCACTTATTCAGTGGAAAGATTTGAAATTCTAGCAGAACATGATGTGAATAAACTTGAGTTCCACTTACAAACACAAAGAAAGCATGCATATATTCACATGGTTCCTTAGAATATACCCTGAAAGAAACGATCAACTAGAATAATACTTTGAAATTATCCAGGAAACAACTCAATTCCATGGTATTTTCAACATTAAATACAAAGCTTTTAGCTACTATTTGTTCAGCTGCCCCTAATTGTTGGAAAATCTAACCATGGCTCAATGAGTGCAAACAGTTTTTCTGCCAGTAGAAAGCCCCATGAGCAAAGGGATGATCCAATCCTATCATAGAGACCAGAACCAATCTACAGTCACAGAGGAAGTAGCATTTAAGCACCTGGCAACTGGTGGATTTCCTGTCTATGAAAAAGGTCCTAGCTTAGAATCACACTTACTTCCAATATGAGACTAGCCAGTGAATTAAAAACTCTGAATTTATTTTTCTCAGGCCAGTGCCTAAGCTCCATGAAGAAATCAAACATGGATAAGTCATAACTGCCAATTGAGAGGTTACCTTTTCACCAGAGAGACAAAACAAATATCAAGCAACCTCATAAGAAGAGGAAACAATAGACAATTGAATGAAAAAAATGGAATACTTTAGTTGTATAAGAAGTTAAAGAGTTCATTAAGGCTGCAAATATTGGAAATATTTTCAACGATAAGTGGAGCTTAAGTAATTTTTCTAAATTCCACATATGAATGAGATCATGTGCTTGTAGTTCTGTTGCCTGGCTTATGTCTCTTTACATAATGGCCTCTCTTTCTATGCTTGTTATCACAAATGAAAGAATTTCATTCTTTTAAAAAATTTATTTATTTTCATTGTGCTTGAAAGGCAGAGAAAACGAATCTCCCACCTGCTAATTCAGTCCACAAATGCTCATAATGGCAGGGGCTGGACTAGGCTGAAACTTGGAACCAGGAACTCAGCGTTGGTCTCCCTCTTGGGTGGTGGATATTCTACTATCTGATTCATCAGTACTGCCTCACACGGTATATATTAACAGGAAGCTGGATTAGAGGAGCAAGGACTCAAACCCAGGCATTCCAATATCAGATCTGATCCTCCCAACTGGCATCGTAACTGCCCTAATTTCATCCCTTTTCAGACTGGATTCCATTGTGTAAATATAGCCCTTTTTTAAAAATACATTCAACCTGCCTTGCGGCGCCGGCACACCGGGTTCTAGTCCCGGTCGGGGCGCCGGATTCTGTCCCGGTTGCCCCTCTTCCAGGCCAGCTCTCTGCTGTGGCCTGGGAGTGCAGTGGAGGATGACCCAAGTACTTGGGCCCTGCACCCCATGGGAGACCAGGAGAAGTACCTGGCTCCTGCCATCAGATCAGCGCGGTGCGCCAGCCACAGCGCGCCAGCCGTGGCGGCCATTGGAGGGTGAACCAACAGCAAAAGGAAGATCTTTCTCTCTGTCTCTCTCTCTCACTGTCCACTCTGCCTGTCAAAAAAATTAAAAAAAAAAAAAACATTCAATAGTGGATGGACATTTTGGTTGTCCTATTTCTTGGCTACATAAATGGCCCTGCAATAAACATATGAGTGCAGAAGTTTCTTCAACACAAAAATTTCATTTCCTTTGGCTGCATATCCAGGAGTGGTAGTTCTATTTTCTGAGGTGACTCCATATTGCTTTATACCATATCCATGCTAGTTTACTTTCCCATCAACCATGTGCAAAGATTCCTTTTTGGCCTTATCGACACCAGCACTTGTCATGTTTTTCCTTTTTATCCTTGCAATTCTTACAGAAATGAGGTGATATTTCATTGTTGTTTTAATTTCCATTTGTCTTAGGCAATTTGGTCAGATAAAATAATGCATCAGCATCAAACATTTAAATTATGTCTGTTAGTTTTGTTTATGTAACTTATGGGCCTAGATTCTCATTTCTTGAAAGGATAGATTTATTGTTGTAATTGTATAGTAATTTCTTTGTATTTTTATGACTAAATAAATTTATGATTTATAAAATCTGTAAACTATGTACTATATGATTAAATCAGTGTCTTCTTCAATAAGGATTAAATAGAATACACACACAAGATTCTATAGGAAAGCTTATTACTGTCAAAAATAGTTTTGAGAGAACTTTTAGTCCAGTAGTTAACACACAAGTTGGATGCCAACATCCCATGGTGCATGGGTTTGAGTCCACCTCCACTCTGAATTCATTTTCTGCTAATATACACCTTAGGAAGCAGTAGGTGAAGACTCAAGTGATTAGGTCCCTGCCACCCAATGGGAGATTAGAATCGAGTTCCCAGCTTCTTGCTTTGGTCTGACTCTGCCTTGGCTGTTACAAGCATTGGTTGAAGTTGAATGGAATGGATAGAATAAATCTCTCTCTCTCTCTTCCCCCTTCCTGTGTGTGCGTATGTGCGTGTGTGTGTGTCTGAGTCTTTATGTCTCTCAAATAAATAAAAAGAAATTTAAAAACTGTTCTCTTAAGCATAAGATGGAATTCATACTTATGTCTAAACCAACACCTTTATAATAGTCAAGACACTCAGATGAAGAAACTGATTTTCAACAGCATGGAATTTTGTTGTTTGTTGTCTTACATTGATGATACATTTCCAAGATTGGCCTGTTTCATCTCTGCCTTTTAGTCTTTGCTCAGCTGTGTAAAAGCTTAGAATTTGCCATATAAAGACATACTTACCATGCAAATAATACTGCAGTAGGTCACCCACATCTCTCTAGTGTTCAGCAACAACTTGACCTTTCCTGGCATGTACCCTGAATAACTAAATATAATGGATAGAATTTATGACACACAAAGTGTTTCTGCCAGGTCCTAATTAGTGGAGAGTAATGATTATTATGTGAGTACAAATGACAAATATGGGCAATCACTGCAAGTTTGGGAGAAGAACAATTAAAGGTATTCAAACCCCAGTGGTCCTCAAGAGAGTTCTTAAATATTTATAATCATGTAAAAATATCCATTATACTCATTTGACCTTTAAGCACCCTGTGTACTTATTTTAGAGAAAGCATTGAAAAGCCTTGATGGAAAGATATTTACACTGCATAGCATGCTAGGCAAACTGTTTCATCAGCAAATGCTAAACAATAATGTTGTAAGACTAGTTTCCGACGTTCAGTCAATTCCTGTTAAATTCAGTCGAGCACAATGAGAACAGTGTTGCCTCGACTCTAATAAGCCTAAGGGAAAAGATATGACTGCTGTTAAAAACTGTGTCTCTTGAATAAAATAACACCCCTGCTGAATGAAATATTAGAATTTGCATTTTCCACAAAGAAAACCTGGTGGTTTCCCTTGTTATTCTGGAGCCATACTTACCTTTCTTCTTCTTTCGACGTAACTGCCAGTTCTCTGGCTTAGGTGTGTTGAGAAGAGATGATACGCTGTCTTATATTCATTTGCAATGTGTAACTTACTTCCAAAATAATATCTGTGAAGACAAGAATAAGCAATAAAAAATTTTAGAAAGAAGATAAAACATCCCCACATTTATCTAAAGAAGAAAGCCTGCAGAAATAGTGTACAGACAATAAAATTTCTGATGGTGAAGCAGATCACCCTTTGTGACAATGAATAGAAACTGTGAGAAAATAAGAGAGGCAAAGCCCCGCCTGTTGGTCCGGCATCCCACATGAGCACCGGTTCATGTCCCAGCTGCTCCACTTCCGATCCAGCTCTCTGCTTATGACCTGGGAAAGCAGAATAAGATGGCCCAAGTACTTGGGCCCTGCACCCACATGGGAGCCTTGCAAGAAGCTCCTGGCTCCTTGCTTCTAATGGGCTCACCTCTTGTTGTTGTGGCCATTCAGGGAGTCAACCAGAGGATGGAAGACCTTTCCGTCTGTCTCTCCCTCTCTCTTTCTGTAACTCTACCTCTCAAAGAAATAAATTGAGAGAGAGAGAGGAAGATTGATTTATGGTCATGCCTGGATTGCCACTGGGATCCCTGCATCCCCATTTCAGAGTACCTGATTTGAGTACCAGATACTCTGTTTCTGATCCAACTTCCTGATAATGTGCACCACAGGAGGCAGCAGATTATGGCTCAAGTACTTGGGTCCCTGGTCCAGGGAAACCCAGCTTCAGTTCAGGGTTCTGACTTGGGCGTGATGCAGCTCTAGCTGTTGTGGGCATTTGGGGAGTGAACCAGTAAATGGAATCTCTCTCTCTCCCCCTCCCCTCCTCCCCCACTCCTCGCCTCGCCTCGCCTCGCCTCTCCTTCTTCTTGTCTCCCTGCCTTTCAAATAAAATAAGGGCTGGCATTGTGATGCCGTAAGAGAAGCCACCATTGTGACACTGGCATCTCATATCAGTGCCAGTGGAGTCCAGATTGCTCTGCTTCCAGTCCAGCTTCTTGCTGATGCACCCTGGAAGGCAGCAGATGATGCCTAGGCCCCTGCCATCCATCCAGGAGACCAGGATGGAGTTCCTGACTCAAGGCTTTGGCCTGGCCCAGCACTGGATGTTATGACCATTGGAGAGTGAATCAGTGAATGAAGGATTCCCTTACTGTCTCACTCTCCTGCTCTCCTGCTCTTCCTCTCCCTGTCATAGTCTCTGCTTTTCTCTTTGCTGTTCTACCTTTCAAATAAATAAGTAAATCTTATTTTAAAAAAATGAGAATAAACTTCTTAAAAAATACTTATTTCAAGGAATTCACCTATGTGATTGTGAGACCTTGCTGGGCAGGTAAAAAAAATGGCAGGACAGACCAACAGGTGGCAAATTTTGGAGTAGGAGTACAGGTGAAATTTCCTCTTCCTTCAGAAACTCTCAATTTTACTCTTAAAGTCTTTCAACTGACTGGATGAGGTCCACCCATGTTATGTATGTAATACCTTGTACTTAAAAAGACATTATGTTAACCAAATTTCCTTCACAGAGCAATACCTAAATTAGTGTTAATTGAATAACTTGGATCTATAGTCTAATGATGCTGACATATTAAAGCTACGCATGTCAGACAGTAAATCAAGAAAAAATTATTATGAAAATATACAAATAGACAATGGTGTTATTTAAAAAGTTTACGTAATACAATTTCTATTAAATTATACAAGAAAATGAATTCTATTAGGATTTAAAGAATAGGGGTATATTGTAATTTAATGTAAAATAGTGAAAACATCCAAACACCTAGTAATTGGAAATGTTAAAGATAAATCATTGTACAAATACATGAATAAATATTATGAATTCATCAAAATTAACAGTTTAAAATAATATGTAATAACATAAATATATCTATAATTTTATTAAGTTAACAAAGAAGATAAAATATGAAAAAGTTCATATATTTTCCACTTTGGAGAAAGAACTATAAAATAAATATGTTTTAAATTATTTAGAATAATGGTTACTTCCAAGATAAATGAATATTGTATTGTATTTTCAGCATTTTGTAAGATATTCTCTAATAAATAATATAGTACAGTGTTTTCAAAAGAAAAATATTGTCAACCATCCATGAAACACCTAATACGTTTCAGATCATATTCTATAAAATGCTTCCACACAGGCTATTGTAGTGTTTGCCAAATACAGCACTCTATTATGAATGTGAAGACACAGTGAAGACACAGCAAATGTCCTCTTCTTTTTTTAAGATTTATTTATTTGAAAGGCAGAGTTACAGACAGAGAGAGGAAGAAACAGAAGAGAGAGGACTTGCATCACACGGTTCACTCTCCAAATGGCTGCAACAGCCAAAGGAGGGCCAATCCAAAGCCAGGAGCTTCTTGCAGGTTTCCCACATGGATGAGTGGCCCAAGGACTTAGTCCATCTCCCAGTCCATTTCCAGGCCATCAGCAGGGAGCTAGATAGGAAGCAGAGCAGCAGGGACTGGAACTGGTGGCCACGTGGGATGGCAGCACCACGAATGTTTAACCTGCTACCCCAAAGCACTGGCCCACAAATGTCCTCTTTCATAGTATTGACCTTACACTAAATGAATCACTGATCTTGTACAGAACATAATGTACTCCACATGCTCAATGTGGAGAAATCCAAATAAGCTGATACTGAACCCATCTCTCCCTCTCAATTATAGACAGACAAAACCTGTAAAATTCCATTTCACTTCTTTTACAACTTTTGCCCCCACTCAAAATCTCACATATATAATACTCATTATTATTAATTTCCCCACCAAAATCATCTTCATCATGTAAAGATCAATGACATTTTTCTCAGTGAATTCTGAAGTATTTCATACTGTAACTAAATGGTATTTTAGTGCAGACTGTACTAAAAAGACAATTGCATATTAAATTAATATCTACCTCATTTTCTCATTGTTATTCTCTAACAATTACACAACACAATTGAGTCTATAATAAACACAGATGCTTCAATAAAAAGATGGCCGTTTCTCTTTTTACAACAATAAAATATTTAATTGTTAGTATTAACACTATACATATATGTGTTTAATATATGTATTTCATTTTTCATAATTTTTAAATTTTCATAATTTTAGTATTAACACTATATTATATTACATATTCTATTAACACTTTGTATTTCATATAAGTATTTCAGATAAATATGTGCAGGTATTGTTTGCACACTTGTGTGTATATATATATATTTGCATGTGTGTTTCCATTTAAATTTTAGAATATAGAATGTATTTTACTCTAAACATTTAATTGTAATAAAATCCCCACAGATATTTTTAAATAGAATAATTTAGGTGCTGAATTATGAACTTCTTAACACGTGAAGAAACTCTTTGAGGACGACTTATAAGAAAGAATACTCAGCATAACAAATATTAAAGAAAATTGTGGTACTAAAATAGTCAATCAGTTTCAAAAGTCACATTGAAAGATCGTAAATGTATGTTGAAAAATATGTGCTAATACTCAAATTCATAACATCTGACTGTGAAGTGATAATGATCTTTGATTCTATGTATAAAAATAAAATATAAGCTAAAACTTATCTTTTCAGATATTTTAGCTGTACTTTTTAAAACATACTACATTTTTCTTTTGATTAACAACAACAATTGTATACATTTATGGAGTACAGTGTGAAATTTCAATACATATATACAATGTAGTCTGATCAAATCAGTATAATTAACAATTCCCTCTCCTTTTCATTACTCTATGATTGAAACTCCAGCTTTACCTTCTGTCTGTTCAGAAAATATAGGTCATTGAGAAGCGTAGTCACCAACAGACCTAACTCTGCTTTGGTGCCCATTACCCAATATCCCTCTCTCCTCCCAACACTTCCAGCTTCTAGTAATTATCATTCTATATTTGATTACATTTTTTTGAGTTCTTCGCTTGATGGAGAATATGTGGCATATGCCTTTCTGTGTCAGACTTAAGTTCACTTACCAAAATATGTATTTCTTCCATGGAAAAGAATATTCATGCAGGCAATGTATTGAAAATATTGATTGATCTTGTGAATATTGATATGAAAAGAAAGAAAATCCTGGCTGCTTCTAATCTTGCTGACTGGAACAATTTCTTGAGTATAACTTGACAATTCAATAGTAAATCATTAGAATTGCTTATAGGCCGGCGCCACGGCTCAATAGGCTAATCCTCCACCTAGCGGCGCCGGCACACCAGGTTCTAGTCCTGGTCGGGACGCCGGATTCTGTCCTGGTTGCCCCTCTTCCAGGCCAGCTCTCTGCTGTGGCCAGGGAGTGCAGTGGAGGATGGCCCAAGTCCTTGGGCCCTGCACCCCATGGGAGACCAGGAGAAGTACCTGGCTCCTGCCATCGGATCAGCGCGGTGCACCGGCTGCAGCGCGCCAGCCGTGGCGGCCATTGGAGGGCGAACCAATGGCAAAGGAAGACCTTTCTCTCTGTCTCTCTCTCTCTCATTATCCACTCTGCCTGTCAAAAAAAAAAAAAAAAAAAGAATTGCTTATAATTTGACTTAATTCACCTCTAGGAACACTTCATAAGGAAATGATTTTAAAAAGGTCAGATTATTTTCCAAATGTTAATATCACATAGTTGTTCATAATTTCCAAATCTTGGAAAGCAAATATCCAATAACAAGTTTCATTTAAATAAATTGCAATATATTTCTATAAGAAATAATTGTACAGACCAAAAAATCTTGATTCAGATGCATAGTTATTGACCTAAAATTTATTGATATTGATGTAAAAATTAAACAACAAAGGACTAGTGATTACTATTTGATTAAATGCTGATTGAATATATTTATTGTTTTTATAAAAGCTTATAATGAGTTTATACTGTTTCTGTACTCGGGGAAAAAAATCACCAGTAGAGTTCATACATTATTTCTGAGTCATCCTCTCATTTGATAGGACCAAAGTCCAAACAAATATCTTTGGTATCTTAATGGGTATTATCTGTTTCACAACATACAAGGAAAGATTTTATTAGAAAAAATGTTAGTGAATAATTATTATTGCTATTGTAATATTGCAAAACTACACAAGCTATTTTTCCAAACATTGAAATTTACAGAATGATTGGAGCTGAATGGTTGTGCTTTTTATTTTTATCATTTAATGAATAGTTTCCTGGAAGCCATATCCTCCTAAGATATTTTTAACAATTTAATTGTAAGAAGTAATTAACCCAGAAAAAATCTAGTTTGCTTCTAAATACAGACTCTAAGTATATCAAGTGAGTTCTAAAAATGCTCAACACATTTTTCTTTCATGTTCTTAATATAGGGAATTATCCTTAAGCTTTTCAAAAAAGTTTTCAAAACTTTCATCATCAAAGCCTCAATATCAGCTGTATGGCCATACCTAGACTTAATCTGTTAGGTTTATGCTATGATACAGATAAAAGGAGAATGCAAAGAATTTCTGAAACTTTTTTTTTTCAGGGAAAATGCACATGCATCAAGTGCCTGACTCTTTCCTACACAAGTGGGAGACCTGATTGGAATTCTTTTAACCTGACAAGGCCCTAGCTGTTGCAGGCCTTTGGAGAATCAAAAAATGGATTGAATCTTTCTCTCCCTCTGTCCTTCTCTCGCTTTCTCCTTCTTTCTCTTTTACTATACAAATTATCAAGACAGATAGCATCAATATTTGTAAGTGTGATAATGACACAAAGTTACAAAAATGGAACAATAAAAATGAGGAAGGACCCAAGTGCACACACACACACACACATATACATACTTCTATATACAAAACAATGTTGAAAGAGAAAAAATAAAGTAGGAAAACTTACTCTACCAGGAAGTAAATACTGTATTTTTAGAGTAAGTCTTATGACATTGATATATTGGTTCAAAGATAGAAAAATTGATCAA